GATGACAAGTGGTAGGATGTTTGCTTTGAAATCTCGTCTGGGGTTGATTTGCCGGATGCTGGGTGGGATGCTATTAAAGAGATCAAGAGAAGCATAGATGGGGGAGTCTCTTAGCCGGTTTGTACGTGTTGTGGGTAGCTCAAAGGTTCGAGGGAACCTGAGCGTGCGAATGGGTTGTATTCGGGGTAGGTGAATTGCAAGAAGGTGTGGTGGTGCATATCTATGATGCAGGCTGTGTGCAAGAAGGATATGGGAGAGGGTACGGCGGCTGCTGAGTGATGGCCATTTGAGTCGGTGCAGCAGCACGGAGTGGGTTCTGTGTTCAAAGAGGGGGAGATGCAAACAGAGGCGAGCAGCGCGCCGTTGGATGCGCTCAAGCCGGTCGTTCAGGGTTGCGGGGAGGGGTGAGAGGACAGTGCAAGCATACTCAAGAATAGGGCGAATGTAGGTTAGATAGATGGAGGAGAGAGCAGAAGTGTTTAAGGAATTGCGTAGTCGCAGGAGAAGGAACATCTTCCTGGTCGCTTTAGTGATGATGTAGTCAACATGCGAGTTCCAGCATAGATTCTGCTGTATGAGGAGGCCAAGGTGGCGATGCCTTGAGGCCACAGTGAGGTTGGTATCGTTAAGTGTGATTGATGGTGGTCTGGGAGGTGGCCGGTTGGTGTGGTGAAAGTGGATGACAGTGGTCTTACTTTCGTTGACCAGGAGATGCCAATCCTTCAGCCACTGTGCCGCGGTTGTCACAGCTGACTGGAGGTGCTCTTCTGCGGCTAGAAAATTCTCGTGAGCGGCAATGATGGCAGTGTCGTCGGCAAACTGGCTGCACTCAGTGTTGGCATTTATGCAGGCGGTTGGCAGATCAACTGTGTAGGCCGTGAACAAAAGCGGCCCCAAGACAGAGCCTTGGGGGACCCCCGCTGGAATGTTTAGCCATGTTGATTTGCTGCTCTCCACTTGCACACGTTGTCGTCTATTGGTGAGATAGGAGGCAAGCCACTGGAGGCATTTGCCATCGAGTCCGAGGTGGGCCAATTTTGCAAGCAGTCCTTGGTGCCACACCCGGTCAAACGCCTTAGAGAGGTCGAAGAAGCAAGCAATTACTGTTTGCCCGGCGTCTCTTTTCTCGGTGATCTGATGGATTAACCGAGATAGCTGCTGTGTGGTGCCATCGTTTGGCCGAAAGCCTGATTGGCCGTTGGGGAGGTGAGGTTGGATGTGCTTTGAGATGCGATCAGCAACTATCCTCTCTTGTACTTTCGACGTCACGCTGAGTAGCGATATCGGTCGATAGTTGGAGGGCTCGGTTTTGCTGCCCTTCTTGTGGATGGGGGTGACTGTTGCGTCCCTCCACTCTTGCGGGATAGTGCAACGTTCGAAGGAGATGTTAAAAAGGGTTGCTAGGGACGGCGCAAGTGAACTGGCTGCCTCTTTCAGTAGGCGGGTTGGTATGCCATCACAGCCCGGGCTCTTTGACGGGTCCAGGTTAGACAGTAACTTTGAGACCTCTTGGGCTGTTGTTTCAAGTGTAGTGAGGCCAGGTGTATTGGGTGTGGGGGAATGAATGGAGGGAAGTTCCTCGTGGCATCCTGTGACTGACTGTTGGCTCTGCGAGATGAAGAAAGCGTTCAGGGCGGTTGCTTTTTCAGCGGGGGTTGAGAGAGTCTGGCCCTGGGAGAGCATGTCTGGCAGAGTAGGTCGTTGTGAGGACTGGAGGCCGCGCATCAGTTTGTGTAGGTTTGGTGTGGAGTGGCTCGTCCCAGTGCCATTATTGACATATGTAGACTTAGCGATTCGGAGAAGGTGAGTAACTTTGTTGCGTTGGGTGGTGTATGCTGTCCAGTTGCAGGGCGTCCGGGTGCGCAAGTAGGCACGGTAGAGCCGGTGTTTTTCTCTGATGGCGTTAGTGAGCTCTGGGTTCAGCCATGGCTTTGCGGGGTGGCTAGTATGCCTCGGGGAGTGAGGTACTGCACAGTGTTTGCGGGCGCAAGTGAGGACTTTGTCCTTCCATGAGTGCCACAGGTTGTCTATGTTGGTAGTGTTCAGGGTGTCACCTTCCGGTAGCAGTTGTGTGCGTTCAATTTCGGCTTTCAGACTGCTGATGCTTGGGTTTGACCATTTCCAATGGGTGGTGTTATGGGTGGGAGGTGGTACGGCTCGAGAGGGTGCAGCGACTGGCTTGATTAAACCCCTGATGGATAGGTGGTCCGAGTTGCCGATCTGCGGGAGACTAGAGATAAGGACATAGTCGCTGTCTACATCCGTGACGACGAGATCTAGGCAGGATTTAGGGTGCCCATTCTGCACAAGAGTGGGGAATGTGACATGTTGGTGTAGAGAGTAAGTTTGGAACAGCACTGCTAGATCCTCGCCAACAGCATCTGTCGTGTCAGAGTGGCACCAAGCGGCGTTCTTTGCATTAAAATCACCGAGGATAATCTTTTGCGTTGTTGTTGGTATGGCTCGTATCAGTTCCTCAAGGTGCTGGCAGAATAGCCGATGGTCGCAACGGGGTGGTCGGTAGACGCATGTTGTGTTGATGGTGCTGTCGTTGGCTGACAGTTTCAGCGATAATAGGTCAAAGCTGTCTGGGGTTGTTGTAGGGACGAGTTCATGAGGTATTGTGTCGTTCACGTAGAGAATCACTCCTCCACCTTGGCGGTCTGGGCGGTCTGCACGGTGTAGTGTGTATCCCCTGAGGGCAAACAGGGAGTCTGGATCGTGCTGGGTACACCATGTTTCAGAGACAGCAATGACATCATAAGGTGGCGTTGTTGACTTTGTTGTTGTTGTTGTTGTTGTGGTGTGTACGAGAGAGTCGAAAAGAATGGTTGATCATACGGGTACAGGAATTGCAAGAAAGAAAAAAGTTTTAAAAGAGCCAATGTCTGCAATGACCAAATATCACTGGTTATGGCGAAATTTCCGATTTCGCTGAAAAAGTTACTACTTTTAACCCAAAGCGGACCTCATTCACCCACTATGATAATTTGGGCCAGAAACCCCATGTTCTTTATTATATAGACCAAACTCTAAATAATCAATAAAAACACGAACTGAAACACATCCAAACAAGGTATAAGAACAAGGGATTACTGGTGCTCGCAACAACACAGTGCAGCCAAAACAACTATGTTCGTACACCAATCCAAGTTATGTAGTTTTTTTTTTTTTCATGGTGGAGTATATGTGACCTCCCTACATGTATTGTTTATTTTTTAATACGTATTTTGGCACCTATGATCAGGGGATGGCCCACGCCTGGTACAAAAAGAAAAGAAAAAAAGCAAGTAATTAAAGAGAAAATTAAAAATAGTTATGTAGTAATGTTGAGCCTTCCCACTTTTGACACGCGACTTGCTGAGTCCCTCGAACGAATCCATCAATACAGCCTGTCCTATGGCAGTGGCGGATCTAGGGGAGGGTGCGGTGGGCGCGCGCCCTCCCCTCAAACAGTTCGATTTTTTTTAGTGCATGCACATGGGCAGTTGCGCAAGTGTTTGCACATGCTGTGACAAGTAGTTTCTAGTGTCAGGTAAGAAAGTTCTTCTGAACACGGAGTAGTTGCTCTCTTAGACTTTGGTTGACTTTTAGTTTGAAATTAGTGTTCAGTTCACGAACTTGTATAGCTAAGTCGGTGAAGGGGATGGCGCACCGCCCGCCCAATCGGCTAGGGAGCCAACAAACTCTCCACGGATTTTTCGCGAAGCGAACTTGCGCTTCGTCAGCTGCTCAGTCGAGCGATCCGTCTTTGGAGGAGAATTCGGACCACCGGGAAGATCCTGAGATCGAGGTCTGCTCAGACTCTGATCTTCCCCAAATGGAATCCGAAGTAGATTCTGACGACGATGGTGGGTGGGACTGTCAGTAGTAGTGATGCGAGTTAGGAGCGTTTACCTGTTGAAACTATCGCAGATGACGACGTTGTGACTGCCACGAATCTGGCTGGTGGCACTGCTACGCAGCGAAGCTACTCGGATGCTGTTGATGCAGCTATTGGCAGTGCAACTCTCAGCGATGCAGAAAAGTGCAACATACTTGGGATCCGGAAGCCTGATAAGCAGACAGTGTTGCCATCTAGGGATTATCCCGACAGCCGCCGAAAGACCGGTACTTCCCCTCGCTCGCTGCTACTGAAGAGGTTTGAGTGGCTTGCCTATTCCGGAAAGGCTGGCGAGGAAGGCGTTTTTTGTGCGCCGTGCGTCCCGTTTCCTACATTGCATCGACAAGGATCAACCCGAGGTGAATACCTCATTTTCCATTCTTACTGCTGGACATGGCCATCCAAGTAATCGTATATTATATTATTTTGCCATTGTTCTCGATCTCAGCATGTCTGGAGCTTTGAAGCACTATCTTTACACAATTCAATGTAGTACGGCTATGTTCTACTACAGCCAGAGTCCTCAATGAAGTGGTTGAAAAAGTGGGAGTGAGTGCATGTGCTAAAATAGTAATTCTACATAACCGCTAAGCCTATGACGTAAAATAGCCGCTATGTCGTAATGTGTACAAAATACAGGCACCGCATAGGTTCCCCTGTCATGAATATTACCCGCGCCCTCCCCTCCGGTGAACTCTGGATCCGACACTGCTATGGCGCCCATTGCGAAGGCCATCTTCAAGGGGTAGTAGCATCGAAGTTACGTCCTGAAATTGGGAGTAGAGCACCACCATAGTGTGCTACAACATGTCCCCATGCACCAACAAATGGTCTTGAATAACATTATACACTAAAAATCATTTGGGGAAATATTCAATTTGTGGACTTCGCTCTACCAGACATGCACTATAATGAATCCAACCTTGTGGCAAGAAAGCACACACTAAATGTATTGGTGCTGCTTCCATTTATAATGTTTTGCACATTAAACTTGATGCCTGATCATTTACATACAGTTACAAGGTAAGGGTAAGAATGCAACAATGCAAATACATGCACTGACATCAAGACAGGAACACATGCGTTTGGCAGCCTCATATTTTATCTTATGATATCTTTACAACTTACGAGTACATGATCCAACCTTAGTTGTTCCATTACACACTGGTTGACCATCAAGATACTCATATCCAATATCACACGTAACCATACCAGCAGGTGATATACTTGCAATATGATCTCGAGGACTGCGTACACAAGCTGAAAGAAGAAGAAAAACGATTTGAAACAGATCAAAACAAGTGTCATTTGCAATCTTGAGAGAACACATTTGAGTAAACAGCTTCGAAGATTGCATTCCAAAGTCTATTTGTTCCGCCAAGTTAAAATTGGCGCTTATCTTCTCACTTGGTTTTCGGTGTTCTGCCTGTGTCACACAGCATGGAACCACCGATTCACCATCCGAATACAACTATTGATCATTGAATCCGACGACATGGCAGCACAAACCATCACAGAAGTTGGGATCGGTTCGTTTGAGTGTTTTTGACAGAGCTGCCGCCGACGAACACTTCCGTCAGCGCAAGAAAACACTGCAACCTCCGCTCGAGTCCGTAAAATAGGTCAGGATGTTCGCATTTCAGAGCGATGGAGAATAAAGTTTCTTTCTACGTCCAGCTGTCTGATGGCAAGGATTGTTTACCCCGGGGAGGTATAGAAAAGCTGAAAAAGCGCTTCGCGAGCTTGAATTTCAGTGCTTGCACAGTACAGCGCCTAGTGAAGGGCTATCACCTGCAAATCGCTGACGAAGAAACTGCAGCTCATGTCGTCATCTCCAGTAAGTGAGACCAATCTGGCGGACACACTTTGAACCTCACAGAGGACAGGGCAAAGGAGCTAATCAAAGAAAACACCAAGTCCTGAGGGAAACACTTATGCAAAGGACTTTCAGGAAACTAGCCTAATGGACTGGTGCACGGCGTTAGGACTTAGGTGCAGTACGCACAGGTGCTACATCAAGCGGAAGCTATCACTGCGCTGCATGTACAAGCACCAGCGGCTCGCGTAGGTGCTGATCAGCAAGAACGACAAGCGAAAGAGGCGATTTGAAAAAAGGACACTGATATGGCGTTGGCTTTTTGTCTCAAACAAAGACGCATTGTTGCGACGAACGGGGATAACACTTACGGTCAACATGCGGGCAGTCTCAATCAGCTTATGACTGGCTAGGTGACAGGCTCGCACTGCCTTTGAGAGTGATTCAAGACGAGGAGAAGTGGAACAAGCTATGAACGACACGTGCAGCAGATGTCCGGATCGAACGTTTTGAGCTCTTCCTCCAGCGACGATAGTGGCGAGGAGGATGTGTAACTTGCTTGAATTGTCGACTGAGTTGCTTACTGACATGTAAATAATCATGTATATAGTGCTCTGTGATCGTGGCTTGCTTCAAATATTCGTATTTCTTTCCTGAGACAAGTGTGAAGATAAGTGCCAATTGTAACTGGGCGGACCAAGTATGAATATTCACGCCTTAATGATCAAATTGTTAAGAGTAACTCTCCATCACTGTAACCAGATACTATAATTATACTGTCAGAAAGTGCAATAACTAGGCACAAAACTGACATACTACTGAGACATTCGACGTCCTGACACCCAGCTTCAACACATCTCCGTAGCGCTAACCAACAGCGTTCCAACTCGGAAAGTTCAAGGTTATGGAGAGACCAAAGAGGAGAAGGTAAGCGAAACGAAAATGAGCACAAGCTGTAGTCCCATGGAACAAAGAATGTCGATTGTTAGTGGACAATGACGAGACCAGTAAGATACTTGACATAGCGGTCTAACTACAATTCGAAGCAGCAAAGCAGTCACACCGCCCAACTTGTATCGTATCCATAACTCGTATCCATATGTCCTTTTGCTTTCTACATTTATTATTGGCTCAACATAAACGTTTCAAAATATTAAGAGGATTTGACTCTTGATCGCTTGTTTTTCTTCAGCAGGTCTGGTCACCTTCTGTCCCCCCCCTTTCTCCTAACCAACACGTGTGCTCATTTCTGAAAACCTTGAACATGTTCGACGATGTAGTGTATGACTAGGGGACAGGATTAGATATGATTCCTAGTGCAGTACTCATATAAATGTTCAAAGGAATGCCATTTTTGCATGATGTGTTGTTTTGATAACTGTCTAGAACGATCCACTCTCATCGCGTTTGGAATGAGAAGTGAAACAAGCCCATAATGTTTAAAAATATTTTTTTTCATGACATTGGTTCATGACACTGGTTCATGACATTGGTTGACCTCATGCAATGAGTGATATGCGAACTGTCATTATTACTATTATTATCATTATTATTATGTCTCCTCTATTCACTTCTTTCGAAGGCGATAAGCCAGACCCACCGGGAAATATTTCCATAGGTGGGACAGCAAAAATAAAGTGAAAAAATAAAAAGCTAAAAACCAAAGGGACAAGAAATAGTTTTAGCTGGACATTTCCCACAGTCGAACGGCCACGCAGAGTCCGCCGTTCGCGCTATGAAGCACGTGGTCTCGAAGTACACGCACCAAGGCAATCTTCAGGATGAGGCCTTCAATACTGCCTCGCAGGAGTGGCGCAACACCCTACAGTCCATTCATAAAAAGATGGGTCCTGGCTCTGGCGAGCTCCCGTATTTGGCGATTTTTCGTGATTTCATCGTACACAGTGCAGTGCTGCGAACTTTGAAATTTGAAAAAGGGTCCAAAAAGGGTGCCTGAACTGGGGTTCGAACCGCAGAATGCACTGTCAAACGGCCTGGATTTTGATAGTTTTTCCCAATTCAGTGCTTTTGGGGCAAAACCTGGCCGAAATCCTATTCTTGCTATGGCTTGCTTTTTGGACAAAAAAACTTCAGAAACATAATTGGAAGAGGATTCCATATGGGATTGCAGAAAAAAATTCTAAAAAAACTCAACGTTTGACCCATTTATGGCCAAAAGCTAGAAGTTCATTTTTTTTCTGAATGGACTGTAATGCAGCGGGCGTGTCGCCCGCCCAGATGCTATTCGGACACCCGCTGCGTGTACTCATCCCGACTCATTGACTTGTGTTCTGTTACCTTTATTTTTACTTCACCATAGGTACAGGCATTGCTGCCTTCTTGCTGTGGATCATAAATGATGCCACAGCTCCTAGGTTATGATGAAAAATTAAATAGTATGATAGATTAATATGATCAAATATGAGCAGTATGCGAAGTAATAAGATGTCATGGCTGTCAGCAGGACAATTATAAAAAATACCATGCAGCAGTGTATTTATGTGTTTTGTGGTGGTGTATTCGACCCTTCGTGAAACCAAGCTGCCACCTTCCTGGATCGAGAAGTTGCCGCTCAGAAAGCCGCATCCGAGTACAACCGATCAGCTCACCAACTCCAACCCTTGGCTGATGGTGGCCAGGTCCGAGTGCAGAATCCTCCCACCAAGAAGTGGGGCCAGGTCTGGACAACCATCTGTATTTGTCGGACCCACAATTACCATGTCCACCTTCCAAGCGGCCGCGTGCTCTGGTGCAGCCGCCTGTACCTCCGCTCGCTGCCACCGCCGTCAGCCTCTGGTCTCGGTCAGTCTCCAAGCTCGGACAACACGTAGGCTCTCTTTCAGGCTGCAGAGCGGACACCCAGCCCCTCGTCGGATTCCTCGATTACCGTCCGGCCGCATAGCTCCCCCAGCAGAAAGCAACCACAGCGTTTAGATCTGTAGACTTGCAATATAATTGATCGTTTCTGTTTTCATCTTTATTCCGTTACATTTGCCTCTTTTAAAACGCTTCTTCAGAATTCCCTAACTCTATTGCAGCGTACTTCTTGCTCTTGAAAATACCACCATTCCGGCAACAGGATCTCAGCCGCAACAAATAGATAACTTTGCCAATATTTCTAGTTGCAGATCAAAGTGTGTGTGGCTTAATTCATCCTGGCATAGGTGATTGGAGAGAGTATGACGAACTGTCTTGGTAAGATGCTTCGTTTCCCAGCCCCGCGACAAATATAGTCTCAACATCATTGAAGGATACGAAAATTCGTGTTGCGTGATAAAATGACATGAGATCTAGAACCGTTATTTCTCCTTTCTTGGATCTTCTAATTGGAACACAAGTGCTCATCCTTCGTTTATTGCTTGCACACCTGCGAAGCTTTGTCTCCACTTGGTGTCCTATGTGTTTCTTGGAGTTTGGGCAGGTCTTTGAATCCTTAGTGTCATTGATACCAGGCATTCTGTGACATGTGCACAATGTATGCTTATTTATGGCAGATATACATTTCAAATGGGCACCAAAATTTCCATGTTGGAAGTTGGAAATAGACATCACTTTGGCATGAAAAAAGAAATTTCCAAAAATTATGCCTAAACCACCTTTTAACTTGGCTAGGCTCACTTTACGTTTTCTTGCAGTCAGTTCAAACTTTTTGCTCGTGACTGAGTCCTAACTGGGGATAACCCTTCACATCAGTGCAATATCTTTATTAGGATGACCCAGAGGCTTGTCGCCTATCAAGGGGTTCACCGGTTTGAAGGATTTACATGTACATGTATGAGCTAAAGTGAAAGTAGTGAAAAGTTATGCGGCGTGAATGCGTTGGGGAGCACACAGGGGGGGGGGGTATGTACATGCCATAGGCATACCGGAGAGCGAAGCACTATGTTTGCAAGTGAGTTTCCGAAGCTCATTCTTGAAAACAATAATGGATGGTTCTGTAGTTAGTCTTGGTGGGAGGCAGCTCCGTAAGAGGGAGGTTTGGAAGAGAAGCAACGATTTTGATGTGGTCTTTGCTTTAGTGAGAATAATTTTGTTAGTATTGTGGGCATCGAAGAAAGGGCTTGGATCTCTGCTGTGAAGCGCAGCTGGAATCTTGAATATCGATTGAGTTCACGAGACTGATGGCGAACGGAAATGAGTCTTCTAGGCTACTGTTGAAATCATACTTCTCAGATTGCCTGCACTGTCACTGTATGATCACACTCCACCGCATGATCTTACCCTATTCTAGTGAACCACAACAGTGTGCTGCCTCTGCTCATGGGTGTAGAAGTTCACTGCAACCATATCAACTTGTATACTTTATTTATAGTGGAAATCAAAACAGGCAAAATGCCTAATAACATTGGACCCACTGTGAATAAAATGTGAAAGGATATTGTGGAAAAGTAGATATAAGAGTAAAAGAGAAAGAAAAGAAAACAGAAGGTTTGTTGCAACGAACAGATATCAATCCAGTGAGCATTGGAAAACCTATGTTGCTGATAATATATACTGCAAGGCTTGAGATTTGAAATCAAAATACCTATTTGAACATTTTGCTGCTGGGGGCAATCTATTCCACATAATGGCTCCAGCGTGCGTTAGGCGCTTAGCAGAACAAGCATTGCTGGCAGGTGGGACCACAAGCAAGTTGCTTTGGCCTCTTCGAGTGCAGGACAGCAAAAAAAGGACTGAAATAGGGTACTACATGCACCATGCAAACATCGCCAGATGAAACAAAACATTCAAGTGCACAGAAACATGTAGATCACATATATTCATTCGATTTAGCAGGGGAGCAGTACTGGTCCACGGTGGCGACTTGCAGACTGCCCGAGTGGCACGTTTGAACAGCCTATGTAGCCGTTGTTCCTGAGCAACTGACAAATGCGGGTAGTAACTAATAGAAGCATACAAAAATTCAGGCAAAATGATAGATCTGAAGTAGGTGAGTCGGCATGGATATGGCAGCGAGGAAGCATGTCGCAGCAGGACAGCAATTTTGCAGGCAACACGACGAGCAACATGGTCCACCATTGTGGTCCAACTCATGTCCGAGTCAAAATGCAGGCCAAGGTATTTGGCAGACTACTGGTAGGACTTGTGAATTGCATACAACATTGATATCGAGGGTTGTAGGTCTATGGTGTGGTATGGCGAGTATCTGCGTCTTGGTCTCGTTAAGGATCAGTCCAAGTTTCTTCAACCAACTCGCCAGGTACTGAACAGCTGCAGTGAGGCGCTGTGAGACAACTCCTGGCTGTGGGCTGCTCGCACGCAGCGAGATGTCATCAGCAAACTGAATAGTGGTGACGGCATGAGGGGCAAGGCCGCGGGCAATATCCTTCACATACAGAACGAAGAGCAGAGGTGCGAGAACTGACCCTTGAGGAACCCCTGACTGGCTGTCATAAGTTGTACTTCTGGTTTTTCCTGTCTCCACGTATTGCCGGCGATACATCAAGTATTCTGTAAACCTTTGCAAAGCAGTGCTAGTGAGACTCAGTTCAAAGAGGTCCTCAACCAGAATGCTATGCTTTACCTTGTCGAAGGCTTTCCACATGTCGACAAATGCCCCTCCGGTTTGCTGTCTGGCGACTGAATTATGTGGCGCATGAAATCACGCAATTTGGCATTGCATGCACCTATACGAGCACGATTGTGTGCACTGGTGTGTGTTTGACATACTGAAAGAGCTTCTGCTAAAATATCGTGGCATAATACTTACGAAATTCACAAACCACAGGTTGTTTAGCATATTGGACACGGGTTGAGTCTCCAGTGACATATGCATTTTGTAGGTTATCGCCTTCGGTTTGATTTATCCACGCTGGCAGCCAAGTAAGTAAACCAACTGTGCAATTATTCGCATTTGCCATTGGGCCAAGAACTTTGCCATTCACACTTCCACATAGAACCTTTGCTTGTAAAAATGTGAATAGGTGCAGCGTCCTTTTTAGAATTACATCACCAGTACAATACCGATGGCCTACCAAACCCAGGCCTGTCTCTGCACACAAACATGGGCACATTGAAAAGAGAAAAAACACCCCCGAATACACATGGAGGTGCATGCCGCCAGAAAATTCACACACACACACACACACACACACACACACACACACACATACACACGCACGCACACACACAAGCAAAATGAAGTAGCAATAGGAATGTACATACATACACATAAGCAGTTGCGACTCCTGCTAAAAAAACATTGGATATCGTTATAATTATTATGTTACAGTTATAAATCTCAAACTCCCCTGTGGTCTGCACCATGATTGAGATATTTAAAAAAAAATTCAGTACAGTACTTGGTCAGTTCATTTGATAGGTGTGAAATTTGCGAGGCGGAACTTATTCTCATGCCTGCATTTCGGGGACCATCTCAGACCGCTTGTTTAGTAGGGGCTTCTTGCGTGTAGTCAAGATGTGGAATTTTTCCTCGGTGCATAGATTGCATGTTTTTGAATAACATCTGTATGATCGGCTCTTCTCCCGCACCTTCCATGTAATGGTCAACGGCTTTCCCTCGCTCTTCAGCTCCCATGCGTGTTTTGCGAGCTCAGTGCTGTTTTTTCATCACGCATGGAGGTCAGATGGTTGGAGTGACGGGCTTTGAAAGGTGTCTTTGCCTGAGCACCCATTATTATTAATAACACGGTCCCTTGGCCTGTTGTTGGCGATGCCACTCTGCTCACGACTGCCCGTCATCAAACGACTCCCTACTTGTAGCGATCTCACTGGCCCGTTGCCCGCCATCCTCCAGGCACCTCCAGCCATCTGCTGTACACTGCCTCCCCATCGCCTCTTTCCACGCTTTCATGCTCACACCTGCCTGTTGCCCGCCACCCTCCTGGCACTTCTACTGTCGCGCCTTGGCCCGCGCCACCTTTCTCCCCACACCTCACACCAGATTTAGCGCTAAATTTGTTTATGATTGTGGCCCCATGTGTTTATAAGCATACTGTTGGGTAGACCCGAGTATCAGTTGTCTGATGATTGCCTAGCGGCATGAAACTCAGAGTTACAACCAACCTGAACGTCCTCCGCTCAGTCTGCTATGTACCTGGATTATTATGTAAATAAAAGAAGCGGTAATAAAACTAACTTTCTCCGGTACACACCTGCAGGTTGAACAGCTCTTCTCTTCGTCTTTGTTGTTGTTATAAAATCTCATGAAACCAGAAATGCGCAGCAGCCTTTATGCAACAGACCCCATACGCTAACGTACAGGATACACTAAATGTATGTCAGGTAAAGCTCCGTACTAGCTAGGCAGGGATACTACACCCTCCTTTCCTACAGATAATCATGCCCTCGTGGTTTTCAAAAGCAGGCTAAGAGTTATGGACACAGCATCAACCGGAATATGGCAAACTATATCGGAAATGATAACGTTTAGAGTAGACAGAAGAAATGAACTGATAACAAATCATAACATAGAAGTAGAAGTACACCAGGTTCACACAGTAGCATAGGGTCTAGAGGGAAAGAATGGTCCTCCAAACAGGACGTGAAAGACAGGCCAAATTGCTGCACCTCCCTGGCTCAAACTGCCAGGAAAGTTCAGTGTCCAAAAATGCACTGCATCGTGGGAACTTACTCTGGTACACAACTGGAATGTAAAAGGGGATTCTCACACACATTGTCCAAGGTTAGTTAGGTAGACCGTGGCTCACCATGATCAGACGCCTACCGAACTAAACTGTATTCACACACTCGCGTAAAGTAAGACTGAAGAGAATAGGAAGACTGAAGAGAATAGGAAGACTGAAGGAAGACAGGAGAGAAACTGCCTTCCCGGAATTAGATTACATGGGCGTAACGCCCATGTAATCTAATTCCGGGAAGGCAGACGATCGCTTGCATCATGTCGGGCTAGTTGGTCGTCGGCTTGCACGAACATTTCTCGGGCGCAGGAGCAGCGACAGCAGGTGCAGCAGCTGTGGGAGCAGCAGAAGGTTCAGCCATAACTTGATGACTGACTAGGTAGACCGCAGCCACCAATGTGAAGGAGTGGTTGAAAATTACTGCTAAAGGAAGGGGCGATGAGGTCGGCAGTGAGCTTCAGAAGAATCGACGGGACTCTGTCCGGACCGGCGCTTTTGTTGGTGTCAATGTGACGAAGGAGCTCGACCTCCACTTCAGTAGCAGTGACATCCTGGAGTGTCCTGTCAGTAACCCTCAGTGTGGGAATGGGAGAAGGAGGGCCGGTGCACCCATGGAGTGACTGCCTGATCTGCTCAACGAAGAAGTTGTTGAAGGTTGTGGCCTTGTCGAGATCACAGCTAATGGTGTTCCCATCACATTCCAAGTCAGGAACGCCATGCTGTACTGAGGTTCTAGGGAGGGACATCACATTGTACAAGTTGCGGCGATTGAACGCCACTCCATGCTCATCCACCGTGTACTCTCTTACTAGGTATCCGTACACATAGTCAGACTTCCCGGACCGCAGCTTGGCCGTGACACTGTTACGCTGCGCAGTGTAGGCTCTCCATGATTCAGTAGAGCGAGTCGATAGATACGTTTGGAATAGAGAGTGGCTTGTCTTGATCTCACTCCTGAGGGTCAGCGTAATCCAAGGCTTTGATGACCGTCATGTACTATGATCATGCGGTCGCTGGTTAGTTAGGTGGGGCTTGGTGCAAAACCTTAGTGCAGTGTTTAGCAAATTCGTCCTCCATTGCTGCCACAGATCATCAGTGCTCGTGGATTCGAGTGGACCAGGAGGCAGAACATGAGTTACTCCAAGGGCAGAAAATAAGCTCTGTATCTCTGTCAGAGTCCCAGATCCAAGACCAGCTCCTGGGCTGGACTGCAGCGATGATCGGGGTCGGTCGAGTTGGCAGTTCAAGGATGCCTAAGATGGCTAAGTGGTCGGAGTTGCACAGCGGTGGGAGAGGGTGCACTGATGTGGGATGTAGGGTATCTGACGCGGCAACAAGATCAATGCAGGAATTAAGTATTCCTCCAGCAGCGTGAGTTGGAAAGTTAACGTGTTCGGTTAGACCGTACGTAAGGAGTAGTGCTTGTAGCGCTCGCCAAGCGCTGTCGGCGGGGTCGGTAGAAAGCCAACTTGTGTTCTTCGCGCTGAAGTCTCCTACTAACACCATGGGCTTGGGTGAAGCACGACAGAGACAGGACTCAAGGCTGGCACAGTAGTGGTGTATGTCGCTACTGGGTGGGCGATAGGAGACACCGAATACGAAGGATTGGCAGTTTGGCAAAGTCAGTTCGATCCACACTGATTCGTATCCAGATACATCGTACATACTGAGGGGCGAGTGAGTGGTGGAACTGTGAATGTAGACCAAGCAACCGCCTCCTCTGCCCTGTTGTCGATCACAGCAATAAAGTGAGTAATAAGGCAGGTCAGATAGGCTGTCGCCCTCGAGAGGAGAGCTGCACCATGTTTCTGTAATGGCAATGGCAGTGGGGAGAGGATGGCATGTTTGGATAAGGGAGGGAAGCTCATCGAACTTATTTAGCAAGCTTCGGGCATTTAACGAGAAAAACGAGAAAAGCATTAAAATAAGGGTATAAGAAGACAAGGGTGAGGAGGAGAAAACAGGAAGAACATGAATGTTTCCAAAAATATTTATGGACACGGTTATATTGTGTGGAGAACAACGTTACTGTATACCCTGTATACCCTGTGACGCCAGTGGGCTGAAGCGTGAGCCCTGTGCTGGGGTACGGGGTTGGTTGAGGCCAGGGTCGATGCTGCTGCTCTCTTTTTTTGAATTTTTGAAATCAGACATAAATAGACTTTCTCCATGCATTCGAGAGTAATACGACACCATCTACCACCTTGATGACCTAGCCAAAAAAAGCGAAGGGCTTTTCAAATTTTTATTTATTTTTTCACTAACGGACTCTTTTTGCATAACTACGGGAATAGTAATAATAATAATTATTATTAATTATTTCAAATGGTGAACGGTACTATCCGGCGAATAAAATGTAAAGAACTCTTCCTCTCCTCTCCTCCACGCGCTCTCACAGCCGACTCACTGCTACCCTCAGTAGCCATTACACACACACACCAAGGAAGGGTTGCAGGTAGATACTGAAATTCCTCCTGACAGCTGTTTCACCTTCATAAGGCTCATCAGAGAAGGTGATATTGAATAGGATGATATCAGGTGGAGATGGTCAGATTTATACTACAAAACATGGGCTTGGTTGGTGTGTGTAATGGCTACTGAGGGTAGCAGTGAGTCGGCTGTGAGAGTGCATGGAGGAGAAGAGAGGAAGAGTTCTTTAATAATTAACGAGAGAGCTTGGAAGCTCAGGGCCCTACGCTATGCTTTTTTGCCTTGATGACCTAGACAAAAAAAAAGCATAGGGATGTTATAAATTCTTTAAAAAATTCCTTTTTTTTAAACATAACCTGGGATTCGAACCCGCACTATCGCGCCCTGCATGCATCCCCCGGTCTTTAAAAAATTCCTTTTTTTAAGACATAACCTGGGATTCGAACCCGCACTATCGCGCCCTGCATGCATCCCCCGATACACTTTGCATAATTACTAATTCTTCCAAGTTGCTTCACATTATGATCTTGCATTTGAAAGCCCTATTTGAATATGCATTGTGGCCAGCCGTCTTTGATGGTACGGTACGGTAGGGATAGGTACGGGACAGATACGATCGAGGGTAATACGACACCGTCTCCCGTACCGTACCATCAAACACAGCTGGCCACATACAGCTGCCCGCAATATTCAAATAGGGCCTTAGTAGTAGTAGTATTTATTTTATTTACCATCGGATGCCTCAACAGTGATACACACAACTCTTAAGAGGGCCGATAACGGGATAAGTGGAAAGGAAAGGAAAAGAAAGAAAAAATAGAAAAAAATTGGAATTCAGACGTCAAGCAGTACAGTAATCAAACACCAAGTCAACTTCAATCTTAGTACAAGAACTATCAAGATCATCGAGAAACTCAACAGATTCCAAAAAGAAGGTCAAAATACTTCTTAAACGCCACTG